AAATGATACTTTAATCATGTATCTCTGGCTAAATATAACCCAGAGGAAGGCAATCCTGTGAAATGCACCAGGAACTTAACACAATTTGCATGAATTCTGTTTTTTTACATTGCCCCTGAGACCCTCAGAGCTATTTCATTGATGTTTCGCTAAATCAGGTACATTTTACGTCACCGGTACCAGAAGCAGTGCGTCCTGAAAGGCAGTGCTTAATGCCAGAGCCACAGACAGACATTTCCCCAAACAGAAGAGTTTGTGTTTGACCACGCGTGGTTGTGTCAAGGGCTGTACTTCACACTTGGATGGTTGTCTCAGACACAGCTGAGTTTGCAAAGTCTCTAAGATATCCCGTAGATAAAAATGGATTCAGTCTGCTTAGTTCCCGCTCTTCAAGCTGGCAAATTTCACTACTAAATGACGTATAATGCCAGCTGGTACTGTTTTCATTGTTTTTTGTTGTTGTTAATCAAATCATCTGCATTGAAAGCAAATGGTAGGTTTCAAGGCAGAGAATACTATTAGGAATAATCTACTTGTTTTCATTTTGAGGCTGCAGAGGGTATGTGTCCAGGTGGTCTGGTCTACTGGTCTAGGTTTGAGTGCATTGTTATTGATCCATCTGTTGACTGAGGACCACTCCGTGTCCAGCCTGTGTAACGAATGTCATCTATCCCAGCAGAAGGGCAGGTAGAAAGAAGGGCAGGTGCATCAATGTGCTGGTTTTCACTAACAGTCACGTTGGAGCAGATAGGATGCAGCCTGAGGGTACCGCCTAGGGGACACCAAACTGAAGGCTCTTGTCTTAAAGTTTAGTTTTGTGGAGGGTTGCTTTGTGTTCATCTACTGATGTATAAGCTTTATGTGTAAGTAATATACATACATTGTACAGTACATATAACATGTGTGTATGATTTTCTTAAAAAAAATTTTTTTTAAAGCTGTTTATTTTTGAGACAGAGAGAGATGGATCATGAGCAGGGGACGGGCACAAAGAGAAGACACAGAATGAGAAACAGGATCCAGGCTCCAAGCTGTCAGCACAGAGCCTGACATGGGGCTCGAACTCACAGACCGTGAGATCATGACCTGAACTGAAGATGGATGCTTAAACGACCGAGCCACTCAGGTGCCCCTGATTTTCTTACATTAAAAATGTATAGTAAGCAGAGCCTGGGAGGCTCAGTCAGTTGAGCATCTGACTCTTGATTTCAGCTCAAGTCATGATCTTGGGGTTGTGAGTTCAAGACCCACACTGGGCTACACACACACACACACACACACACACACACACACACACAAATACATAGCAAAAAACTTTGGCCATGTGGTTTTCCATGGAATGCTGTTTTATTTTATGGAACAATGATCTGGTGAGAATACAGACTTTAAAAAATACGATATGCCAGTCGGAGGATCCATAACCTTTTTAAATATTTATTTATTTATTGGGAGAGAAACAGAGAAGACACAGAGGGAGGGGCAGAGAGAGACAGGGAGAGAGAAAATCTCAAGTAGGCTCCATGCTGTCAGCACAGAGGCCAAGGGGGGCCTGATCCCATGAACCGTGAGATCATGACCTGAGCCAAAATCAACTCGGATGCTTAGCCAACTGAGCCCCCCAGAGCTCCCCATGATTGATAACTTTCAACAGCCTACAAGGATAAAGCAAGGGGGAAATAGGATTTCTACCCCGATTTGGAGGTTCCTTGAAGGACTTTTCTTCATTTATCCTGAATTTGTGCAGGAATATAGTGTGTGCGGGTGTTATTTTCCCGTGACCCCTCAATGCATCGCATTGGAGGTCTTTTGCGGACGTTGTTTTCCGCAACTATTCAGAGTTGGATGCAGACCTGTAACATGGACGTGACCAGGCATTTGAGAAGGATGCACCGGACTTGGTAAGTTGTAGCATGAATCCATCTGAGGCTTTGAATTACTCAGTTTGGCGATGCAGGGTGGGCGAAATGGTAACCTCCTGTTCCACCACCCTATTTGGTGGTCATTAAATACGCCCAAGCATCCAGTGCAGATATTGCCACGTGGGGTTAACTGTGGAATCGAGGCAGAGCTGGTGAGTTTCTTTCATCCTGGCAGAGATTCCTCCCACGTCAGCCCTGAGAGCCACATCTGGCCCCGGGTCGGTTAGCGGTCCTGGAAGGCTGCTCGCTAGCGTGTAAAGAGAGGACGTATATAATTAGTTTGAAAACCTCAGAGATCTTTGATCAGGCTGCACAGCTGCGTAATGTCAGTGGGCTTTGAGAAACGTGGGGAACAGAAAGTCCTTAGATCAGCAGCGCCCGTGCAGAGGCACCGTGGTTTGGATGTGTCTGCCGGGCATGGAATCAGACCAAGGGATGCAGAAAACCTTTAGGAAAGGTGCGAGCTCACCCCGGATGCCTTTAAAGAGGCTCTGGGAACTCATGGGGACATTGAAGAGTCCCGCTCAAGGAGCAGGGTTGAGACAATTCAGGTGGCAGTTCTGAGGAACAGAATAAAAATGTTCACACAGATGCTGTCTACCGCGGGCGCAAGAGCTCTATGAAGTTTTGGAAGAGTGGCTCCGGATGGGAGTGACTATATCCCCTCAACCTGGGGACACTTGGGCGTGTCTGGGGATACTTTGGGCTGTCATTCTGGGAAAGAAGGGTGCTGTTGGCAACAGGGGGTGGAGATCAGAGATCTTCCTTAACAGCCTTCAATGCACAGGACGCCTCACCCCATAGAAGGCTCCAGCCCCAAATGTTGCCCTGAGCACCGCAGACTCGCTGATTGCTTTATTTGTGCATCTATTTATAGTATTGGTTTGCCTCTCAGGGGTGAGCTTGCTGAGGCATCTGACAATGTTTGGGGCCAGCTGTGGACCTTTACAGGTGGCATATTTGGCCAATGGGTATTTCCTGGATGGGGAGCACAAATACTGCTCTGTCTGCATCCTTTGGTGCACAGGACAGCCCCCGCCACAATAATGATCCAGCCTAAAGTGCGAGTTGTGCTGCCAGCGTCCCTCCTCATCAGGGAAATACAAATCAAACCCACACTGAGATACCACCTCACGCCAGTCAGAGTGGCTAAAATGAGTAAATCAGAGAACTCTAGATGCTGGCGAGGATGTGGAGAAAGGGGCACCCTCCTACACTGTTGGGGATGTAAACTGGTGCAGCCCCTCTGGAAAACTGTGGAGATTCCTCAAAAAATTAACAACAGAACTCCCCTATGACCCAGCAATAGCACTGCTAGGAATTTACCCAAGGGACACAGGAGTGCTGATGCATAGGAGCACATGTACCCCAACGTTCACAGCAGCACTCTCAACAATAGCCAAAACATGGGAAGAGCCTCAGTGTCCATCAATGGACGAATGGATCAAGAAGATGTGGTTCATCTACACGATGGAATACTCCATGGCAATGAGAAAGAATGAAATCTGGCCATCAGTGGATGAATGGATCAAGAAGATGTGGTTCATCTACACAATGGAATACAAATGGATCAAGAAAATGTGGTTTATCTATATGATGGAACACTACATGGCAACGAGAAAGAATGATATCTGGCCATGTGTAGCAACATGGATGGACCCTGAGGGTGTTATGCTGAGCGAAATAAGTCAGGCAGAGAAGGACAAATACCATATGTTTGCACGAATAGGAGGATTAGGAGGAACTTAACGGAGAACCGTGGGGGAGAAGACGGGGGGAAATAGTGGGGGAGAGGGAGAGAGGCAAACCATGAGAGACTCCTGAATGCTGAGAACAAACTGAGGGCTGATGGGGGTGGGGGGAGGGAAGGGGGTGATGGGCATGGAGTGGGGCACTTGTCGGGATGAACACTGGGTGTTACATGGAAACCAACTTGACAATAAACTATAAAAGAAGAAAAGAAAACATGAGTTGTGCTGAGGTCAACAAAGTCTGTTTGATAAATGCTTTGTTTGGGAGGAGGGCACGGAAGAAGGAGAGAGAATAGCCGGAAATACGGTGCCCAGGTCACATCTGTGGGCGGTGACAGTCATACCTCACCTGCCCCAGGGAAGCTAAAAAGAACGTAAGAGAAGAAACTATTTCCAATGCACTTTTTAATTAGCTGTGCACGTCTGTTACTGATCTGTCCGTCTTTCCCTCAACTCGTAGGGAAGCCTGAGGTGCACAAGGAGGTCATGTGTGGCTTACTACACCCGTTCATGCCCTCTATTGTTTGCGGAGGAGATGAAAGGGCCATGCTTTCATGACTGATTTGACAAGGGTTAAGGACAGATGGCACAGGTAGGTTGGATGCATGATTAATGGAATGAGTGACTGGGGTGAGACCACCCCACCCTACACCTCTCGTTTGCTGGGATCCTAAGAAAGGCACCTGCTTTCCATCACCAACAGAATGGGATGCTGAGTAGAGTTCATCTACGTCTCAAAGACCAACGTGACCACCAAGGGCAATGTTCACGAGGAAGCTTTTGCCCTAGTTATGACATCATGGGGATGCACGTGACAGATGATGTCTTTGCTGCTTGGCTGACAAGTCACCGTCCTTTGTACCCAGAGCGGAGCTCAGCCCAATCTATTCAGATGCCTGGGGGCAGCCTGTCCTGATGGTAGGTGGCGGGCTTGCCTTCCAGCTGAAATAACCCTAAGGGAAATTGTTGGGATGTTTTTCTAAGTACACCCTCTTGAATAAGAGCCAGGAAAAATACCCCTCCTATTAAACCCTGCTGTGCTATGGTAGAATAATCACAGAGGTCACTCCATGCACTGGAACGTTCGGAAAGGTACAGTCCTGCAAGAATATAATGAAACCCATTTGGCTCATTCCCTATCTAGAAAAAGAGGCTGAATGCATATAGGCTGGCTCTCTTCCAGGCCTCAGGCAAGTGTCCAAATCGAGCCTACATTTTCTCTACCTCCATGTAACCTGACCTCATTTTGATGATTAATAGCCACAAACCAATTCTGACCAGAATTCCAGAGTTTTATTTCGGAAGACAAATTCATGTAAAAAGTTGGAAGTAATACAAACAGTAACATGCGTATATGCACAGATACAGATGTGTGTTGTATATGCATATATAAATATAAATATATAAATATGTTAATAACTGCCAATCATTCCTGGCCAGAATTCCAGAGTTTTATTTGGGGAGACAAGTTCATGTAAAAATTGGAATGAATACAAAGAGTAACATACTTCTATGCACAGATACATACATATGTTGTACATACATGTATAAATACACAAATATATTAATAACCACCAATCATTTCTGACCAGTATGTCAGAGTTTTATTTGGGAAGACGAATTCATGTACACATTGAAACTAATACAAATAATAACATACTTATATGCACAGATACAGATGTGTGTTACACATGCACATATAAAGACCTACATGCAATATATATGTACATAAGTAATATATAAATATGCTAAAATATATACATATATACACACTAATGCATGAGACACACCAACACACACAAAGCATCAACACTGAACTGTAGCCTAACACAGTAGATTGTAGTTTGCCTTTGGTTTTGAAGACATCTGTTTTTAAAACTTTTTTTAACGTTTACTTATTTTTGAGAGAGACAAAGACATAGCAAATGGGGTACTGGCGGAGAGAGAGGGAGACACAGAATCTGAAGCAGGATCCAGGCTCTGAGCTGTCAGCACAGAGCCCAATTCAGGGCTCGAGCCTACAAACCGTGAGATCATGACCTGAGCTAAAGTCGGATGCTCAACTGACAGAGCCCCCTAGGCACCCCTGGTTTTGAACACATCTTTGTGATATACAGTGAGCCATCTACAGTTTGTTCATATCTATATATATGTACTAAAATAATTGCTATAATTCAGGGAGTGACATGGTGTTTGGCTCAATGTAAACCTACACATTTTCATGCCTAAGGTTTTATCCAAGGCTGAAATTCAGATCTGCTTGCTTGTCTTCAAGCTGGCTTTGTGATGTCCGTTCTGAGCTTCATATGCTTTTGACGAATGGAGGGAAGGCAGAGGAAGTGTGTCTGTGAGGGTCTGTGAATGTGAGATGTGGTGTGGCTGGCGTCTGGCTGGAGATACAAAGGTCCCTGGGAGCGTGGGCATTGAGTGTCTCACTGAAGGGGAATTTTAGCACTTTCCCCCCTCTGCTTGGTGCTAAATTTAGCTGCTAGGTTGCTTCATTGTGCTGTTGGTGGAAGTGAAGTCACGCTTATTTTTGGTTAATGTGTTCAGCGGAACGAGCTCTCCAACTCGGTTGCTGATGTTTCTGATTGAATTGTCATGTTCCAGCCCCGAGAAACAGACTGAGCATGCCAGGATATGTGTATTGTAAAATCACCCAGACTTGAACCCGAAATGTCATGCTGAGTGCAGAGGTCACAAAGAAGAGAAGAAATGGCCCCTACCCTTGGGCACCTCGGAATATAGCTGGGGAAAGAGGCTACAACGAGTAATGAAAGCGTGCATGTGTAGCAGGCGAGGTCATAAACACACAAAGAGAGAGTGGATGGTTGGGGGAGATTTGTGATGGTTTGGGGAGGTTGTGAGGCATTTCGAGGAAGAGCTTGCACTATTGGGCTCTAAGGTTGCGTAAAAGTTCAAATGATAACAGGAGATCAAAGATTCTCCAAACTGAGGAGCGCAGAAGCAAAGGGTGGCCTCAAGACATGAGTTCCGACCTCCCAGATGCAAAGTCAGGCATGGCGGCCATGGTGGCTTCGGGAACGGGCAAGGGCACAGAGAATTCATGTGTGCAGCCAGAGCTGCCCCGCAGGACATAAAAGGTCTGCTCGGAAGGGGGATGTCTTTCCCTAAGGGAAGGGGCTTACTGGGTGTGGTGAGATGGGGCTTGACGTCATTTCTATATAGAGGGCAGGAAATGCAGCTGATGTGGAGAAGAGAGGTGGAAAGAGAGACAGGGGCGCCTGGGGAGCTGAGTCAGTTAACTGTCCAACTCTCGATTTTGGCTCAGGTCATGATCTCACAGTTATGAGACAGACCACCATGCTGGACTCTGCACTTACAGCACAGGGCCAGCTTGGATTCTCTTTCTCCCTGTCTCTCTGTTCCTCTTCTGTTCATGGTCTCTCTCTCTCTCAAATTAAATAAATAAACTTTAAAAAAGAGAGAGGCAGGGTAGACAGAAAGATTAACAGAGATAAACATAGATAGATAGATAGATAGATAGATAGATAGATAGATAGATAGATAGATGAGTCAATAGATATGATAGATGATAGATAGATAGATAGATAGATAGATGGGTCGATAGATATGATAGATTATAGATATATTAGATAGATAGATAGATAGATAGATAGATAGATAGATAGATAGATGGATGGATAGATAGATGGATAGATGGGTCAATAGATATGATAGATGATAGATGATAGATGGATAGATGGGTCGATAGATATGATAGATAGATAGATAGATAGATAGATAGATAGATAGATAGATAGATAGATGGATAGATGGGTCGATAGATATGATAGATAGATAGATAGATAGATAGATAGATAGATATGATAGATGATAGATAGATAGATAGATGATTGATAGATAGATAGATAGATAGATAGATATGATAGATAGATGACAGATGACAGATAAATAGATAGAGATATACAGATGGATGCATACATAGATAGATAGATGATGGATGGATGGATGGATGGGTGGGTGGATAGACGGATGGATGTGTAGGTAGATAGATACATATGATAGATGATAGATGGATGATGGATAGATAGATAGATAGATGGGTCGATAGATATGATAGATGATAGATAGATAGATAGATAGATAGATAGATAATGATAGATGACAGATAGATAGAGATATAGAGATGGATGCATACATAGATAGATAGATGATGGATGGATGGATGGATGGATGGATGGATGGGTGGATAGAGGGATGGATGTGTAGGTAGATAGATACATATGATAATGATAGATGGATGATGGATAGATAGATAGATAGATAGATAGATAGATGTGTAGGTAGATAGATACATATGATAGATGATAGATGGATAGATAGATACATAAATGGTTGGATGGATAGATAGATAATAGAAGAGAGAGGTAGACATAAACTGAAACAGAAATGTGAGGAAGCTACTACAAAAATCATTATTGGGATGATGAATGCTGAGAACAGCGATATTGGTTTTTTTCCCTGTTTTTTTTTCTTAATTTTACTAATAACAAAGGTGTTACTGCAGAGACTGACATCATGTAAGGGAACACCTTACTGTTCATCTCACGTGCCTGTGTCCTTCTACAATGCAAAGGTCCACTATTTCCCCACCTTTTTAATGCACATCACATAAAATTGGCCACTGCAAAATCTTAAAGTGTATAATGCAAGGGCACGAAGTTCATTCAGAATATTATGCAATCATCACCACTCCCTAGTCCTGGAATATTTTAATCGTCCCCAACCCATAGCAGCCTGATTCACAAAAGACGAAAGATGGAAGCACCCCTGTGTCCTTCGATGGGAGGAAGGATGGATAAACACAATGTCGTCCGTCCACAATTGGAATATGACTCTGCCATAAAAAGGAGCAAAACTCTGACATCTGCTACCATGTGGTCGGACCTTGAAAATATCATGGTTGGTGAGAAAAGCCAGATGCACACGGCCATTTCTTTTTTTAAAAAAACAAGCTAAAATTCTTTGATTTGGAGGATTTCGTTCAATGTCCCCTAATTGATGGAGAAAAGGATTCTGGCCGTTGAGGCATTAGAATCCATGCCTTTTAAAGCATGAGGCTGCCAGGGCCCCTGGGTGGCTTAGTCGGTTAAGCGTCCGACTTTTGCTTAGGTCATGATCTCGCGGTTCGTGGTTTTTTGCTCCTCGTCTGGCTCTGTGCTGACTGTCAGCTCAGAGCCTGGAGCCTGTTTCAGATTCTGTGTCTCCCTCTCTCTCTGACCCTCCCCTGCTCACGCTCTCTCTCTCTCTCTCTCTCTCTCTCTCCTAGAGATAAATAAAAAATATTAAAAAATAAATAAATAAAACATGAGACTGCCTTCTTAGAGTTGCCTCCATCCCCAAACATTTCTCCCTCCATGGCACTCGACGGGCACCGAGAGACCCCATTCCGTTTGATTCCATATGACTCCATTGATGTGACCTGTCCCCACCCTGTTTCTTCAAGTCCATATAGAAACCTTTTGAAGCCAACCACAGAGCCAACTGCAAGAAGAAGCAAACAAACAAACGGAAGTCTGAGAAGAAAGTCTCCTCCCGAGGGAAATGGATAATCTTACTATTCACAGCACATGGGTCTCCTGGGATCTTAGGGTGAACAGTCAGAGTTCCTGTTTACACCTTGCAGATGGCAATATCTGGGCTAGATTATGTCCAGATCCGTAGGCCAACTTGGTTAAGCATTTGCTTTCTAGGAGGGTCGATTACGCAAACGTATTAAAGGAACGCCATCGTGCCCTCCGCAAAGCACCGGGCTACACATCTTCTACCATTTCCTTAAATTCATCTCTCCATCTGGATAGTTCATGAGGTCAAGGATTCATGTGTCTGCTTTTCCAATGCCCCGGGTGGCTGTGGACCCATGGCCAGCCTTGGGAAAGTCGCTGCTGAATGAATCCATGGATAAACAGATAAACTGATTCATTCCTGATAAGTCCAAGCACATTGTAAGAATCAACCACAACTCAGGCATATGCGAGCTTTGACACATCTCCAAACAGTCACCGCATAGCTCTCAAGAAGAGAAACACAACATTTTAACTCATCCGTACCAATGATTTAGATGACCTCTCAGAATTGTTTTTTTCAGGATGTGGCCGCATAAACAGATGCCTGTAAACTCAACGCATAAAAGGTTTTACTCTGAGCCGACAGAGAGATCATCGAACACAGTTTCAATGTGCTTTTTGGGAATCACTGAATCATAGAGACGCCGAGGTCTCTGGCCTCAGCTCTTCCTGGCTTGGCGATGACCTAACTACACAATGATGTCTTGTCAAGCAGATGTTCTCTCTGT